AAATGCATTACTTGCCTCTTTGATGATTTTCCGCCTTAATTCTTTCACCTCTCACTCTTCTTCTTTGATAAACTATCTCCAATTCACCTCTCTGCATATGTATCTGATGAATCCTAACATTCCCATTGATATATACTTCTTTAGACTTGAATGAATTTATAGGATATAAAAGATAATGATAATCATTACAATTCTTACCTCTTTCTTCTTTCTTTCTTCTACTACTTATTCTTCTTACTCCTTGACTGTTTCCTCATTTAATTTGCACACTTACATCAAACTACAATTCATCACGATAATTTGCTTAATTAACTTCCAAATCTTCATAACAGTTTTTCAATTACAATTCCATTCCATTAAACTGAGAACATCAATACCTGTTAATTCTGCACTTTCTTCTCACAAAAATCCTTCAGCTGAGACTTCTCCCTCCCCCAGCCAAGACTTCTTCGCCGCTGCCAAACAAGGCTACAGCCCAGAATTCACTATGTCGACTGATCTACAGTACCCGCGGCACTGTATCGAACTGTGCTACAGGAATCCTGCACTATGCCGAAAGCATTATGCCGGAACTCTCTACAGGTTTTCCCGTCTGATAGCCTTCGTGAAAGCAAAGCAGAGAAGGGATTTGTTTTGGTTGCGGGAAACAAATCTCCAACAGCAGATTACTATAAGGGAGGGCCCACACACTCTCAACTTAATTTCTATGCAACCATTGAAAGCAACTATTCAACATTTTTTTTAATATATTCTGGATATCATTTCTTATTTTAATAATGAATAGTACTTTGTATTAAGACTAAAACTACTTTAAAATTTACTGATTTTTAATTCAATTATTTATTTAAAGTAACTCTTGTAGTAATAGTAATTACTACTAATACTAACTTAATCAATAAGAGTTTTTAAGATATCCTTAACAAACTTAAAAATTTTCATACCTGAAGTTTCGGTTGTTACATTACAAATATATAAACTTTCTACTATTTTTTTATGCATCGTCTAGGTATCTCATCTTACTTGAAATTCGTTCTTCTAGGTTATGTTTTCTTCTCCTTTTGTACACGACCTAAAACATACATTTCTTTATTTACACATACTTAAAATAATTAAAACAACAATATGACTATCTTATGAATTACCTTAATTGTACTCTTCCTCATTCAACCCACAATCTTTCCTTTTCTCCTTCCTAGTCTTCCTCTTTTCCTTCTTTCTTCTTTTCCTACTAAGTTCAGCACACTCTGCATTCAGAAATTTATTTTTCAGCAACAATATATACTAATTTCAGCAACTATAACAACACTTTTCACTATTCTCTTTACTATTTATGCACACACTAATACAGAAAATACAATTACTGATTTCTTTAGCTTTCTACAATAGTAAACTTCTTTCCTTCCTCTCATTACCTCAGAAATCAGTCACACACAACAGCCCAACAGCAATCACAACCGTCCAACATCAGCTGCAGGATTTCCCACTCATAGCCTCCTCCAATGCATGTGGCTTTGAGTGGAAAAGCTATTGTTTTCACTACTGAATTAATATATAAGTAAATGATTTAATTAACTACTCAAAATTTTAAAATTTTGGTTATAATTAAATGAAATGACTTAGAAGAATTAATACAAAAGATACCTCTTGAAGAAAGAGTTTTTATTGGAGGAGATTTAAATGGACATGTTGGTAGAGAGGTAGATGATTTCAAAAGCATTCACGGTGGCCATGGATTTGGAACGACGAATGAAGGTGGCAAGACCATTTTAGATTTGTGTTTAGCTTATGATTTTTCAATTGCTAATACCTTATTTAAGAAAAGAAATGAGCATCTCATCACTTATAAAAATGGATATAGTACAACCCAGATTGTCTATTTTCTTATTAGAAAATTAAATCGTTTAGATTGCAAAGATTGTAAAGTTAATTCCGAGTGAAAATTTATGTACCCAACATCGATTATTAGTTTTGGACTTTAAGATAAAGGGTCATAAAATAAAAAATAAGTAAAACATTTTCTAGGATTAGATGAGGGCATTTAAAGAATATTAACAAAAATATTTTTGAGAGTAAGATTTTAGATCTTAAGATTTTGTCTGTGCATTGAGGATGCTAATGTATGTGGGAAAAAGTGGCTAGTGATATTAAAAATATTGCAAAAGAGGTGCTTGCAGTATCGAAGGGAAAAGCTCCTAATAGTAAAAGTAGTTTGGTGGATAGAATCCAAATGTGTAAGAAAAGATTAAAAATAAGAAGATTCGTTATAAAAATTGGTTTAATTTTTAAAAATTCTGATAATTGGGAAATATATAAAAGTGGCTCGTAAGGATTCTAAGAAAGCAATATGCTTTTAAAGACATTAGCTTTTAGTGATTTATGTAATAGATTAAATACAAAGGAGGGAGAAAGATATATGTATAAGTTAGTCAAACAAAGAGATAAGAGTAGTAAGGATTTAATTCAAGTGAAGTGTATTAAGGATGAAGATCAAAAATACTTTTCTTTGAAGATGATATTCAACAAAGGTGGATGAGATATTTTGCTAAGCTTTTTAACGAAGATTGTGAAAATAAGATTAACTATAGTGACCTTAACACCCTAAATGAAATTAAAGATTTCTGTTTTTATCGGCGTATTAGTAAAATGAAGTTTGAGAGGCTTTAAAGAAAATGAATTGTGGAAAAGCTGTTGGACCTGATGATATTCCAATTGAGGGTGTGGAAATGCCTAGGAGATGAAGGGATTTCTTGGCTCACTAAACTTTTTAATACTATTTTGAAGACTAAAAAGATGCCAGATGAGTGTAGAATGAGTGTGTTAATTCTTATTCTTAAGAATAAAGGTGATGCACAAGATTGTACGAATTATAGAGGTATTAAGTTAATGTGTCATACTTTAAACTATGAGAGCGAGTTATGGAGCATAGGTTGCGGCGTGATACTAATGTTTCTCAAAATCAATTTGGATTCATGCCGGGTAGGTCGACTATGGAAGCCATACATTTATTAAGAAGTTTGATGGAGAAATATAGAGAAAATAAGGAGGATCTACATATGATATTTATTGATTTAGAAAAAGCATATGATAAAGTTCCAAGAGAAGTGATATGAGAGTTCTTGAAAAGAAAGGAGTCAATAAGCTATATTCAAATCATTAAGATATGTATGCAGGAGCTATTACTTGTGTTCAAACACATGCTGGTTTTGAACAAGTATTTCCCTATTCGGTTGGGTTTACATCAGGATTAGCCTTAAGCCCATATCTTTTGCTTTAGTCATAGATGTTCTCACTAACATTTGCAAGAGGATGTACCTGGTGTATGCTTTTTACTGATGATATTCTCTTTGTTGATAAGACTAGAGGGGAGTTGAGGTAAACTTGAATTATGGAGGTCAACCTTAGAGTTTAAAGGCTTTTGCTTGAGTAGATCTAAAACGGGATATATGGAGTGTAATTTTATTAAGTAATAGACCTTGTGAGGGGATTGTGATTTGAGTGATCAAGTCATTAATAAGAGTACACGTTTTAGATATATTGGATCTATTGTTCAGGAGTGATGTTGAAATAGATGGGGATTTATCAGCAGAATTCAAGTTGGTGGTTGTTAGTGGAGGAATGCATCGGGCTTGTTATGTGATAGAAAGGTACCCCTTAAACTTAAGGGAAAATTCTATTAAGATGGTAGTGAGGCCTACAATGCTTTATGGTGCGAATGTTGGCCATTAAAAGAGAAGCATAATACTAAGTTAAGTGTGGCAGAGATGAGAATGCTCAGGTGGATGAGTGGCTTTACCCTTAGAGATAGGGATACGAAATGAGCATATTACGTGAAAAGGTTGGAGTAGCTCCAATAGAAGATAAGATTAGAGAGAGTCGCCTAGATGGTTTTGGTCACATAAAAAGCGGCCTTCCAATGACCCGGTAGGAGAGCAGATGTATTTAGATTTGACTTTTGTTTTAGAAAGGTAGGGGTAGACCTAAAAAGACTTGGTTTAGAAAATATTAGGAATGACCTTTCTTTATTAGATTTTAATTGAGAATTTGAATTTTAATAGGACATAATGGAGAAAAAGGATTCATAGAGCCGACCCCACGTAGTGGGATAAGGCTTGATGTTGTTGTTGTTGTTGTTGTTGTTATAATTAAATGAAAATAAATACTTACCATTATTTTGGGTATTACAAAATAGGAGGTGTATTTATAATACGGGTAGACCAAGTTTACAATATAGAAACTAGTCTACATAAACAAACAAAATTAGAATGAAAGAATAAACTAGTGCTTATTATATATATATAATATATATATATATATATATATATATATATATATATATATAGACAATTTATTTGTATTTTATTTGGCCAAAGATACATTGCTGGTGTTTGCTTGTTTTAGTGTCAATGTGGAATGTTTTTTGTTCCTTCTTACTTTGTAGACTTTTATGCTTTATAGGTTGGTTTGCCATATTAATAGCCAATGATTATCAAAATTATTTGTATTATATTTGTTGATGCTTAACAGGGTCCCTCATATTACATAATTTTGATAAATTTCCTTGCAGCTACTTTCAAACTAATGTACCATTTTTCACACTAATGCAGTTAATTTTGTTTCGAAGCTTATTAGAGTATTTGATGTTTTCAAAAATATATGCTCTTAATATCCCTCAACATATTTGGCATCTCTTGGGCATGGAACAACAGTTGATATTGAAAATCATCATTCAGTTACAGTTTTTTTTGCGGATTTATGTTTTTTATTTATGTTCTTTTTCAGTTTTTTGATTGTTTCTTGTATTTCTCACCCTTTTTTTATTCATGAGTTTTTTCTTTCTTCTATGAATGTTGAATTGAGTCCTCTTGCATTACTCAGGAATGAATGGTGACTAAGTATACGTAAAGTTAATATACATAGTTGGGATAAGAGTAATCTTGTTACTTATTTAATTTAATTTGATTTTCAGATCACTTTGCTTATGCTTTTCCTTTGCCCTGTAGAGCTGTACAAGATGGTATGCGAACGCAATGAGACAGGTGTAAATATTAATATATCTGCAGTTATGCTGCCGCAGGATGCAGGTGCAAGCTTGGAAAACATTCTTGCCAGCAATCGCTCTGGTGAAATTTTGTTGCCTTTCATGATATATGTGGTATCAGGATTCTTTCAACATAATAATGCATTAAAGTACGATGTGAATTATTCAGTTTCTTTCAATTGAAATTTTCTTTTTTGGGTTAAAGTATGTTTTATATGCAGAAAATAATGTTGAACAAATTCCATGTGATTCAAACATATAAACACTGTTTTCTTTATGGACATGATGCAGAGCCATGTTTTTTCGCATGTTTTCCAGTTTCCAATCTAAAAATTCTAATGGTCTCTACACCACAGTTTTTAAGGGAGGCCTTTTTATTTGTTTTAAAATATGCTGTGTGCGAGTATGAACTTTAGTGTAAATCTGGAGTTCTAGAATGAGGATGTTAATTTTTCTTCTTTCATTGGTACCTCTCAACATATATTTGAAAACTATCTTTCTAACCTCTCAAATTTTCACAGTTACAGTGCAACTATATTCTCCAGATCGCCCTTTGGTGGATACAGCAGAAATTTTTCTGTGGCTAATGGCAGTTGGTACTATCTTGTGTGCATCTATTTGGTCAGCATGGAGTTCGAGAGAAGCTGCTATTGAACTTGAAAAACTATTAAAGGTTTGCTTGTTTAATCGCTCCATATCTGAAGCAATTCCTTGTAAATTTTCTGAAGTGATTTCCCATTTTTGTGACGCGTTATGATAGGATGCACCAGATGATCTACTCAACATGGAATCGGCTAGCTCAAGAGGTGTTGTTGATATCAATACAATATCAGCAATTCTGTTTGTTGTGATCGCCTCGGGCTTTTTGGTTATGCTTTACAAATTAATGTCCACATGGTTTGTGGAAATTTTGGTGGTTCTCTTTTGCATTGGTGGAGTAGAGGTTCATATTTCTCCTATTTATTCCTTTCCTTCCTCAGCTATCATGTTAATTACCTAATATATTCTAGCATTCACTATCATATAAACTTGTTATGGGTAATGCATGTTTCGCAGGAATAGTGTCCGGCCTTGATGCTTATAAACTAAGTATAAGTCAATGGTTTTTTGTGTTCTGACAATGTTAAAATTCACAGGATATAATAAATATCTCTTTTATACATAATCTTGTTCTAATGGCACCTGCATGCGTTAAGTCTAATCCTGCCATGGAAAAACTTGAGAGCCGAGAAATCAGTGCTGTGCCTGTTGGAGTTATTTGTATGCTATTAAGTGCTTTCTTGCTCGGAAATCCTTGTAGGCAAGTAGCAGCTTCAAATACAATCTAATCTTGCAAAAGTTTAATAGTTAAGCTGTTGAAGTAGTTGGGGTGAACCAACAGTAAATAGTGTTCTCTCTGACTGTTAATGTTATTAATTGTGAAATATCAATATCATGATGTGAGTCTTGTTTAATGTTATCAACATCATAATTACTTTATTCCAATTATTTGATGTAGGATTTACCTATTCTTTTCTCTATTCATTTCTATCAATTGTTGCATGCGATTAATCATTCAAAAAAAGTCAAATATTTCCTCTAGAGCATTCTGTATGATAAGTAGAGAACTTGATAGTAGTCTTTTCTTGAGGTAAATTTTTTGTTTTAATAAGATTTTCCAGATGTTGTGCTATGATTTGTTTTGATTTTGGATCTAGATTTCTTATAGGTGGCAACATAGTTAATCACCCCTCTTGGTCGTGATGGAGCACTCTCGATTTAGGAGGTTACTTAGGCTCACATTTCAGGCTTAAAACTAATAGTTAAATATGAATTTATTTTAGTGGGAAATGATTGGAGTCAAAATGTAATCCTATTTTTAGATCCCATGATGATTATTGTAACAGCTATCTTATGACCCATTACTAAAGCCTCGTTGGTGAGATTCCTCCTCTAAGGGCTATAAAGATGAGACCAATACTAGCTTGCACCTTTGGAAGATTTAGAGTTTTGACAGATTTTATTGATGTCGCTTCATCAAAATATAATTCTAAGATTTGCTATTTTTTCTTGTATGAGAAAAATCTATTTATCAGTTAAGTCAGTTTTAATAGGAAAATTTGTGGGAATATGATGTGTAGCTAGAAAGTATGCTATAATTTTTTCATTCACCGATTTTTGGGGAGTATATGTAATAGAAAATTGTTGGAGCAAGTTCGCCCATCTGGAACTTCAATGGATCAATTCTTGATATCAAATTGATATTGTAAAACAGCATATGGAGAATGATGCTTTTCAATTGGAGAATGTCATACGTATACTCCTATTAACCTTCGACTAATGTAATTGTTGACCCTCA